GTTCTATACCGACGATAGCAATACCGCCACTCTTCCAATTTCTCTTTGTAATCACAAATAAAATAAAGTCCGTAGTACGTAACAAATATTCTAACCTTATTCATCAACATCTCATATATTCATTTTAAAATTCGTTACACTACTGAATAATATTTTTATTATCAATGAGTTATTAAGTTCTTTACATCTAGAAAAGTAGATAAATACATATTCCTTTTTTCTAGAAATTTATATCCGAACACATGGCAATGACAAACAATAAAACACATTGTTTTACCTGTAATAAAGATAAAATAACATATCTTTGTGAAGGATGTTTGAAAAACTTTTGTTTAATGGATTTAACAAAACATCGTCAAATATTAAATGAAGAGCTGTATCATATTATTAATGATTATAATCAATTTAAACAAATATTTAATGAACAAAAACCAAGTTCATATGATCTTTCTTTAATAGATCAAATTAATCAATGGCAGAGAAATTCGATTGAGAAGATTAAACAAAAAGCAAAAGATTCCATAGAAAATGTCATAAAATCTTCACAAGCTCTTTTAAATGATATTGAAATAAAATTTAATGATTTAAATGAACAACTAAAACAAATTCATAGCGAAAATGAATTTAATGAGATTAATTTGAATTATTTAAGAAATGAATTAACAAAAATTAGAGAAGAATTTTATAATCCACGAAAGACTTCTATTGAAAAAGATTTACAAGCATTTACTAATGAAATTTCAATTATTCCATTAGAAAAAAGTAAGTTGGTAAAAGTAGAGACAAAAAAACAAAAATGCTATTGATTTATTTGTATGTAAAGAACTGGATTATATTAAATTTTGTTAATTATTCTAACAAAAATCTAATTTTATAATGATCACAATAAATTATCATTTGATTTCTTTGTTATTTTCATTGAATAGATCGTTAGAAAATAAAGTTATCCTATAGAATCTATGTGATACTCACATAGTAGAAAAGAAATAAATGACATACTATATAAATGATTTTGTGATTATTAGCAAATGTGATGTTTCATTTTTCTATTTATATTATATTAACATATATATTTAATATACAAAGAATGAAAAAAAACAAATCAAACTTCATCAATAAAAGTTTCATGAATTTGACATTAACTATTAGAATAACTCTGAATATATTTTATTTTTATTAGTTTATTGCGATTTCAGGTGACATTCTTTCATTACTCGACTTTTATTATAGTTGTTCGTTATTCTTTGATATTTCCAACCTATTGATCACTATAGTCAAAGAAATATGTTTGAAAAATAATATTTTTCTAAATATTCATATTAAAATTGTAAATTAAAATAAATAATAAAATCTTTTTCTCTTTTTCAATTTCATTTCTTCTTGTTTCTCTTTCCATCAAAATCTTTTATTTTCATTCTATTCTAGAATCAAAATTCAACAATTGGAATAAAAATGCCATCACTGTAGCTGGTGGAAACGGATATGGAGAGAAATTAAATCAACTCAATTGCCCTGTGGGAATCTTTATTGATAAAAACAAAAATATTCTCATTGCTGATTGTTCAAATTATCGTATTGTTGAATGGAAACAGAATACAACACAAGTGCAAATCATTGCAGGTGGAAATGGCAAAGGAAATCGAATGAATCAATTGAATTATCCAACAGATGTGATTGTTGATCAACAGAATCATTCGATCATCATTGCTGATTGGCAAAACAGACGAGTCATTCGATGGTTGAATCAAAATCAACAAATTCTCATTGACAATATAGATTGTAGTCACTTGACAATGGATAAACATGGACTTCTTTATGTTTCTGATTATAAGAACAATGAAGTAAGACGATGGAAAATTGGTGAGTATAATGAAGGAACTATAGTTGCAGGTGGAAATGGAAAAGGAAATCAACTCAATCAACTTAATTTTCCTGCCTATATCTTTGTTGATGAAGAACAATCTATTTATGTATCAGATCAAAACAATAATCGTGTGGTAAAATGGAGAAAAGATGCAAAAGAAGGTAGAATTGTTGCTGGAGGAAATGGTAAAGGAGAAAAGTTGAATCAACTGTCTTCACCTCAAGGATTAATTGTTGATGATGTAGATCAAATCTATGTGGCAGATAGTGGGAATGATCGAGTAATGCGTTGGTGTGAAGGAAAAGAAGAAGGTGAAGTTGTTGTTGGTGGAAATGGTTATGGAAATCAATCAAATCAATTGAATCGTCCCACAGGTTTATCTTTCGATGATGAAGGAAATCTTTATGTTGGCGATAATTCAAATCATCGAATTCAAAAATTTGAATTAATCTTGTAAATAAAATTTTGATTTTGTAAAAAGAAGAATAATTTTTTGTTAAATAAAAAATTTATAAATAAAAATAAAAGAACAAGTGAAGTTTTATTATTGAAAGTATTATTTTTCTCTATTTTATTCATTTTTCAATGTTGTTTCGTTATGAAACACTTAAGATTCATTTGATCAAAAAGAAAACGCTTTTTTATCATTATTTTTCGTCACTTGAAATGTTTTTAAGATTTCTTTTTCAAATCAAATGTATAGTTAGAAGAACTTAATCGATAAAATACGAATTCAAAGTGATGTTAAAGTTTTATTAAAAATTAAAGAAAAAGATGATTCTTGAAAGGGTAGCGATAGTTTGTTGATTCAAGAAGAACACACGAGTATTTATACAATGAGCAGTGGTTATTTCTTCTGTTCTTTTCATCTCTGCAATGAGCCATATTCACAATTCGCTTATAAGCCATACGACAGCAAAATTGTACCTTAAAAGAGAGAGACAGAGAGAGATAATATATTGCTATACGCGGCTCATCTCTCTTCATCTTTTTCTTCGACTGCACAGAGTGAAGAAGCTGCTCATGGTTGACACATAATATCGTCATACTCTTTTTATCTTCTATTATCTCTGATCTATTCTGATCCTTTTCAATCAACGAAAACAATCAAACTTATTGCAGAAAATATGAAAATGACCATTTTTATTTTTTCAATCATATAAAAAGTAAATCAATAAATAGTTTCTTTACTCAAGCTGACCACGATTTATATCTACTTTTTTACTGTATATGATGTTTACTTATTAGAGGAATTTTTGAGCTATGTTTGGAACAAATAAGAATGTAATTGACGTTATAGTATGTTTGAATTTGTTAATATTGATAAATCTACTTCCAGTCGTATTTGACTAGAGACTTTTTCACAAAGATAACTGTAACTTATCAGTAGGAATGAAATGATAAATCGTGATTATTTCATATTCTCTGCAATACGGTTGATTGTTTTCGTTGATTGAAAAGGATCAGAATAGATCAAAGATAATAGAAGATAAAAAGAGTATGACGATATTATGTGTCAACCATGAGCAGCTTCTTCACTCTGTGCAGTCGAAGAAAAAGATGAAGAGAGATAAGCCGCGTATACCAATATATTATCTCTCTCTCTCTTAAGATACAATTTTGTTGTCATGTGGCTTATAAGCGAATTGTGAATATGGTTCATTGGCAGATAACACATTTTGATAGACATCAACAGGACAAAAAAAATATGATACGGTCATATAAAAAAAAGAGAGAAAAATACCCATATAATCATATATGTGGTTGATATAGCGAACAAATATATCATTTGTCTGCTTACAATAGGTATAGACTGAATTCTCATTCATATCAAAATAATTACAAAATATCACAATTTTAACAATTTAATTCTTTCAAATAGTTTCATTTTGGTAAGTTAGTCTTTTGAAATAATATTACATAATAACTATCTTAAGAATGAGAGTGGTGGTGATAACAGTATAAGACTGGATTAAAATGAAAATAACGATACAGTTGAGTGAAGTAGAGATCATTACATCATCCATTTCAAGGGTAAAATTATGAGTGTAAATCTATGTTTAATCTTCAATTTTGAAAAAATATTATTATAATTGTTTGAATTTTTATATAAAATTAAAAGCACATCAATTTGTTTTACTACCGAATAGTATTTTTATTATCATTGAGTTATTAAGTTCATATCTACAAAAGTAGATAATCAAATATTCTTTTTTTCTAGAAATTTATGTTCAAAGACATGGCAATGAAAACCAATAAAACACAATGTGTTATATGTAATAAAGATAAAATAACATATCTTTGTGAAGGATGTTTGAAAACCTTTTGTTTGATGGATTTAACAAAACATCGTCAAATACTAAATGAAGAACTACATCATATTATTAATGATTACGATCAATTTAAACAAAGATTTGGTGAACAAAAACCGAATCCACATGATCTTTTTTTAATAAATGAAATTAATCAGTGGGAAATAAACTCAGTTGACAAAATTCAACAAAAAGCAAGAGATTGTAGAGAAATTGTCATTAAATCATCACAAACATGTGTTAACGATACTGAAAAGAAATTTAATGATTTAAATGAACAACTAAAACAATTTCATAGTGACAATGAATTTAATGAAATTAATTTGAATTATTTAAGAACTGAATTAATAAAAATGAGAGAAGAATTAGATAATCCATCAAAGATTTCTATTCAACAAGATTCTCAATCATTTATTAATGAAATTTCAATTATTTCATTAGAAAAAAGTAAGCTTGTGATAAATATCTTTTTAAAGAAAACTTCAGATTTTCTATAAATTTATGTTAAAAAAGTATAATACACCAAGAAGTGATGACAGAGAAGATACAGAAATCGAGAATATTAATATAAATAGAAAATTTAAACATATCTGTATGTAAAAGAAAAGTTAACTAAAAAACTTTTTCTACGTAGTTTAAAAAGATGTTTGATTGTCAAGAATAAAATTTGTCTCTTTTTGAAATGTATTTATTAACGCTTCATTCAAAATTAACCTTTTCTGTTTTCTTCTTCTTTTCATCAAGACTGTTTGTTTTTATCATTTTCTAGAATCAAACTTCAACAAATGGAAGCAAAATGCAGTCACTATAGCTGGTGGAAAAGGAAAAGAATTAAATCAACTGAATCGTCCTGAGGGAATCTTTACTGATAAAAACAAAAATATTTTCATTGCTGATTCTTATAATCATCGTATTGTTGAATGGAAATATAATGCAAAAGACGGACAAATCATTGCAGGTGGAAATGGACAAGGAAATCGCATAAATCAACTGAGCCAACCAACAGATGTGATTGTTGATCAACAAAATCATTCGATTATCATTGCTGATCGTGGAAACAGCCGAGTGGTTCAATGGTTTAATCAAAATCAACAAATTCTTATCGACAATATTTACTGTTATGGCTTGGCAATGGATAAATTTGGATTTCTTTATGTTTCTGATAGGGCGACGAATGCAGTGAAACGATGGAAAATGGGTGAATACAACAAAGAAGGAATTGTAGTGGCAGGTGGAAATGGACAAGGAAATCAATTCAATCAACTCAGTTTTCCTACTTTTATCTTTGTTGATGAAGATCAATCTATTTATGTATCAGATAGATACAATCGTCGTGTGATGAAATGGAGAAAAGATGCAAAAGAAGGAGCAATTGTGGCTGGAGGAAATGGTGAAGGAAGAAATCTCAATCAATTGTCTTACCCTCGAGGTGTAATCGTTGATGATTTGGGTCAAATTTATGTAGCAGATTCTAGGAATAATCGAATAATGCGTTGGTGTGAAGGAAAAGAAGAAGGTGAAATTGTTGTTGGTGGAAATGGTGAAGGAGATCAATTAAATCGTCCCATGGGTCTATCTTTTGATAATGAAACAAATCTTTATGTAGCTGATTATGAAAATCATCGAATTGAAAAATTTGAAGTAATTGTGTAAATAAAATTTTGATTTTGTAAAAAGAAAAATAATTTTTTGTCAAATAAATAATCAAGAAATAAAACTGAAAGCAAAAGTGAAGTTTTATTGGTGAAAATCGATGAAAATGAACAAAAAGGATGTGGGTATGGCTGATAAACACAATACTTCAGTCCACTGACCCTCAAAATGCATAAAATGTTGCTAATACCAAATTCTGTTCAATAAAGAATTTACTTCATTGAACAAATAATATGCCTTTTTGGTATCGATTCCATTATTTCTGAGATCGAGAGTGGTGAGTGTCTATATTGTAACATAATGATGAACTCATACTAGATACAAATAAAACTTATTTCACCATGTTATTCGGAAATGCATAAGCCAAATGTTGTGCTCCTTCAGTACCGATACCATTGGATCGCAGATCAAGTGTGATGAGTGTCTGTATCGAAATTTAATGATATATTTATAGTTAATGAGAAAATCTTTGTTTCACTGTGTTACGCTGTAATGCGTGAGCTAGATATTGTGCGCCTATACTACCAATTTGGTTTTCTCGAAGATCACATGTTATAAGTGTCTGTACTTGAACAATGGTAAATTAATAATAAAAACAAAAGGAAAATTTACCCTACCTTATTACTTTCCAATGCCTGGGCAAGATATTGTGCTCCATTAGCACTAATTTTGTTGCTACCGAGTTTAAGTATTTTGATTGTCTGTTTTCAAAGTTTATCTTAATTTTTTAGTTGAGGAGAAGAAAACTTATCTCACTGTGTTTTTTTGCAATTCATAAGCTAAATAATGTACTCCTGTATCACTAATATAATTCCATCCAAGATCAAGAATGGTAAGTGTCTATATTCAAATAATAATGAATTTCTAGTGAATGGAAAGAGATATTGTCTCACTCTATTTTTTTTTAACGCTGATGCAAGATATTGTGCTCCTTTGGCACATATTTGATTTCTTTCGAGATTGAGCATAGTGAGAGACTGTAATGAAACATAAAAGTGAATGAATCGTTAATAAGCGAAAATTTATCATACCGAATTATTTTGTAACATTTGAGCTAGATATTGTATCCCATCAGCTAGAATGTAATTGCCTTCAAGATTGAGTGTAGTGAGTGTCTATATTGAAACAAATTAGAATGAATTATTTATTGTTGATGAAGAGAGCATTTGTCTGACTGCATTATTCTTTAGTGCATGAGCTAGATATTGTATCCCTTCACCAGTGATGTCATTTTGTTCTAGATTGAGAGTGATAAGTGTCTATATTGAGGCTTTGTCATATATTTATTGTTGTTGAGAAAACTTATCTCACTGTATTATTCTGCAATGCATTAGCCAAATATTGTGCCCCGTCATCACGAACATAATTCCATCCAAGATTAAAAGTAGTAAGTGTCTACATTAAAACATAATGATTGATTCATAATTGATAAGCAGAAAGTTTGTTTAACCGTGTTATTCTGTAACGCTTGAGCTAGATATTCTATTTCTCTAGCACCGATATTATTTTTTTCAAGATTAAGCGTAGTCAATGTCTACATTAATACATAGAGATAGATTTATATAGTTAATGAAAAAAAAACAAGCGTGTCTGACCGTGTTCTTCTGTAACATTTCAGCAAGATATTGTATACCTTCAGCTCGTATTTTATTGCATTCAAGATTGAGTAAAGTGATTGTCTGTATTGAAATATTATAATGAATATACGGTCATATTTTCGCAAAAAACTTCTCTTACCGTATTACTTTGCAATGCGTGAGCGAGAAGTTGAATTTTTTTATGATTTAGTAACTGACTTCCTAGTTTTAGTTCGGTGAATGTCTATAAAAATAAATTAATACTAAACGATGTTTTAACGACAAAAGTAAGACTATAATTTACCCCGTATTGAGTATAAGTACTGATGATGATATTAAAACGTGTGCATACATTTTGAATTGATAGAAAAATATCTAGTCGTTCAAAATTATCCAATATTCGATAGACTAATTCGACGGGTAATGTTAGAAAAGATGAATTCATTTTGTTGTGTATTATTTTTTTTTCTAAATTTTATTATAATGTACGTTATATGCTCTTTAAAGCTTGTTTTTATGTATTTTGAGTCATAAATTTCTTGTGCTTGTGCAATGTCGTATGAATGTAAGATTTAGATTTTTTCTGCCGATTGTCAAAAAAGCAGAAGATAAGCACTACATGAATCATTTGAAAAAAAATAAGTGCATGCAATTAGTAAAAGAATATCGACATTTATATTCGTAAAATATGACAGTCTCTCAAGAGGATTTTTATTTGTTCATTATTTAGGATAAAACAAGTTATCTTTTTAAAAAATAAACGAAATATTTATTTGAATTATGAATTTAAAGTATTTTTTTATATTTTAATATAAATACAAAATACTGATTATTATAATCGATTATCCATTGAAATTTGTTACTCAGTTGGACAACACGGAGTAGACAATGAATGATCTTCAGATGAAGTGTTGATCAACGGTGTTATGTCTGTTGTTAAAGACTGAATTTGAGTTCGGTTTCGAATTCTAATAATACCAAAAATAAAATGTCCCAAAATTAAACCGGATAGAAGAGCAATAAAAATACCAATATCATATGTCATAACTAATAACATTAAACAATAAGCAAACAACATATGAATTCCATATGATAATGATATACACAATTGTTGAACAAATACAGATGACCATACATTTGTTCTTTGTACTAATAGATGTCGACTATATA